GGGCTGAAGAGAAGTTTCCCTGTGAATATAGTGTTTGGGACTGGATTAACATTATTCTGCTGGAATTGCACGTACTCTTAGCTCTCAGAAGGTCCCAATTAGGCCTGACACATTGCCATCACAGTGCACATCCTCCCTGTAACAACCATATTAGGCTCAGTTGGTGCTGGGTGAGTTTTAGAGTAGGTTTCCCAACCAATGTGGGTGGACAGATTCCCACCCCATTTCCCCCACTTTTACCCCCAGCCCATTGCAAATTCAAATTGTAACACGCTGCTTAGGAATCTGCTAGTAGCCAGTGTTTATTTGTTAACAATTGTATAAACCTGACACACACAAAAATATCCCAACTTGGATAGGCAGAGTCACACAGTCTTTGTGAAGCAAGTCAGAATTTAGGAGAAAATAGTCAGTGGAAGATTTCAAGTTGCAAATGTGCTCAAATATAACTCAAATAATTCAGATAGGTTGAGAGCTCCAAATTGGAAGCCAAAAAGAAAATAATACAATATAGGAAGCCATTGAGTTGCCTACATGATACCAAAAATATCCTTGCTTAACTGATTGTCCCCTTTCACTAATTTGTTACTTTAGCATTCAAGACGTGTACAGAAATACATATAAACACATAGAACAATCTATTCTTTATTAAGATTTTCTACTGTGGACTCTTCACAAACCAAGACAAACTTCTGCTCTGTTGTTCAGCCATTTTTCAACAATTTTTTACTGGACTACTATTAAATGCCAGACTGTTTCGGTTCCTGGAGATACAACATTGAATAAGCCATCATGATACTTATTTTTTAGTGCATTAGAAACAAACAATGAAAAAGTAAACACAAAAATAGCAGGCAATAAGGGCTGAATGACATCATCAGAGTGGTATCCCAGCAAGCACATATGGGCTATTTTAGGACTGGTGATCAGAGAAGCCTTCTGTAAAGAGATTTCAGTGGAAGCCTTCATGGTAAGTAGGGGCATGCTCTGTGAGCATGTGGGCCACGAGGTAGAGGGAACAGCCAATACAAAGGCACTGGGGTGGAAGCAAGTTTCGCACCTCCACAGACTAGGAAGCAGGTAAAGGTAACAGGAGCACCCTTGTTAAGGAAAACAGTAAAGAATGGAAGAACAGAAGTGACACAGGTGCCAGGTGAGGCAGGGCCTTAGCAGCCCAGGTGAGGAGGTCAGACTGCACTTTCAGTGCTACAGGGAAGCTACTGGAGGATCTTATGCATGGGAATGTCACGATCTGATCCATGCTTTTAAATGACTACTTTGTCCTCTGTGGACACAGAATGTGTGGGACAATAGAGCAAGCAGAAAGGCCAAGTGTGAGGCCACTACAGCTGTTCACATGGGAGGTGAGAAAATCTGGCCTACAGTGGTAGCAGTGAAGACAGGAAGATGTTAAAAAAGAAATGAACAAATAAACAATTGTGCACATTGTAAACAGAGAAATTAAACTAATGGAGAGAATTTCTTTGATGTTAAGTTTTAACACCTTTATTTTTTCAATTGCTTCTCTATGTGGGGATTTAGTATAAAATAGTATCTCATTCAGACATGGTTTCTTATGATAAGGTGGTTACGTGTTGATGACTACGCAACATTAATTGTTGGAGACTGAACTAGCACTTGTCCTTTGATGTGATATGAGCTTTCTTTGCACTCGACAAAGAGTAAGTTCACAATGAATTTGTTAAAACAATAGAGTAAGTGAGTGCATGCCATATGTGTGGGGTTCTGCTGAGCAAAGAGGTAGTGGAGTGTAAGGTAGTGTATACTAATACCTCAAAGTGTACCCTCATTTCTTTTTTTTTAACTTTTATTTAATGAATATATTTTTATTTTATTCTATATGGTGTAAGTATACGCTTGATAGTGGATTAAATATTACATTAGCAGCTAGTTCTATCAGCAAGTTAAGAACTAGGCTCTTGGTAGGGAAAGTTGCTCTTTAATACCCAAAGTTAATCAACTGGTGAAACAACTGAATGCCATAATATGAAATATGATGAACTATTAAGACATCAAATTAAAAATAGTTTAGTTCAGAATGAGATAGTATTTTAATCCTAAAGCCTCATGTTAAAGGAGGCCTAAAAAATATTGAGGGTTAAAAGTTTTAGTAGAAAGAATTTCATTAGTTATTTTTTCTTACAAATTTGGAAAAAAACAGTGTCATTAATTTTTTTTAAAGATTTATTTATTTACTTGAAAGGCAGAGTTATAGAGAAGCAGAGGCACACACACACAGAGAGAGAAAGAGAGATAGAGAGAGAGGTCTTCCATCTATTCCATCTACCAGTTCACTCCCCAGATGGCGGCAATAGCTGGAGCTGTGCAGATCTGAAGCCAGGAGCCAAGAACTTCCTCCAGGTCTCCCCCGTGGGTGCAGGGGTCCAAGGACCTGGGCCATCTTCTACTGCTTTCCCAAGCCATAGCAGAGAGCTGGATTGGAAGTGGATCAGCCAAGTATCGAGCCGGCACCCATAAGGGATGCTGGCACTGCAGGCAGTAGCTTTACACACTATGCCATAGCTCCAGCCCCATCATTAAGTTTTAATAGTAAAACCCTCCATCTCACTTGTGGAATGGGAATACAGTCTGAAAAATTCACTGCCTGGTTACCACATAGCTTATAGGCTATGGGCTCGTCTTACAAGGTGCACACTGTCGGGATGGTGGGGCAAAGATATTCTTCGACAAGGAGCACCAGAGACAGTTTCAGTGAACAGTTTCAGTTTAACAATCAGGCACAAGCTTTTACAGGTCAGTCAAAGGGGAGTAGCAAGATCAGGGTAGCAACATTAATTCTACAGGATAAAGCTGATATTGGCACCTCTACATTTCTCCAATCAGCTCGAAGGTCATGTAGCCTACTAGCCTTCCAGGTGGTCTTATGGGTCTGTGCCACCACCCGGGAGCTGTACAAGGCTCCTCAACAAGAAGTGGAGGTGTGGGAAATGTGCTTGGGGCTCCTGCCACCTGCCAGCAGTCAGGTCATGTGTGGGTCCCAGTGTGCTGAGACTCCATCTAGGGTCTTTCCCAGGAGGCATGGTGCGCCATGTCCTCTTAACCTCCTGCATGGGCTAGGCAGGCGATCTCCCAGCCAGGCACAGGATCACCCACAATGGGCAAAAATGCGATTTGATTGAGATTATTTACATTCAGGGGCTGTTAACCAGGCATAATGCTGAAAATGGCCTGTAGTAAGATGTCTGTAGCATGGGGGCTCCACATTTAGGTAAAGAAATTGTGCTATTGTGCTCCATCCTAATGGATTGCAAACATATGTGAGGAACTTGACTAGTTGCTCTCAGTAGTTCTAATTCCCCTGAAATTTTGTAATTTTATATTAAATGGCATTGGTAACTGTATCCCCCTATAGATAGAAGATATAAATATTTATTTGTTTGTTTGTTTGGTAGGCAGAGAAGCAGAGAAAGAGGCACAGAAAAAGTTGGATTCACTCCCCAATGCCTGCAAAGACCAGGGCTGGACTAGGCCAAAGGCAGGATACAGGAATTCAATCCAGGTCTTCCATATGGGTGACCGGAACCCAATCCTGTGAGCCATCATCACAGGCTCCAGGGTCTGAATCAGCAGGATGCTGGAGTCGAGCCAGAGCCAGGAATTCAACCCAGGCACTATGACATGAGATGCCTATGTCTTTATTATTATTATTATTATTTGACAGATAGACAGTAAGAGAGACAGAGAGAAAGGTCGTCCTTCCGTTGGTTCACCCCCGATATGGCCACTATGGCTGGAGCTATGTCAATCTGAAGCCAGGAACCCAGCGCCCATATGGGATGCCAGTGCCTCAGGCAGAGGATTAACTAAGTGAGCCATGGCACTGGCCCTGAGATGCCTATGTCTTAATCAGGCTCTTAACCACTAGACAAATGCTAGTCTCTAAACTTGTATATTGAAAAACATTTCATTCCTTGATAAACCTATTGTGCAAGGCTGTGTGTGTGTTTATAATTCTGTTTCCATAAGCAGCCTGATAGTGCTGGTGTCAGACACTTTGGAAAAGTCTGTCTTTAGGAAAAATCTTAGAGTTTGAAAATAAGAGGACGGCAATGCGGAGTGCTGATTTGGGTCCTGGGTGCTGCACCTGCAATCCAGCTCCCTGCTAGTTCACCTGGGAAGGCAGCAAAAGATGCTCAAGCGCTTGAACCCTGCCAACCACGTGGGAGATCTGGATGGAGTTTCAGGCTCCCGGCTTCAGCCTGACCCACCTCTGGCGCTGCAGCAATCAGGGGAGTGAACCAGCAGATCTGAAGCTCAATCTTTGTCTCCCTCTACCTATAACTGTGCTTTTCAACTAAATAAAATAAATCTATTTTTGAAAATCTGTAAATAAAAGCAACTAAGAGCACAGTGAGTGGTAGAGATTTTCATCCTATGATAGCTGCATAGCAAGTCAGCTGCTAGAGGTAGAAATATGCTTGTCAAAGACTCTTTTCCCGCCTACAACAAGGTGGGGACATGTCAGGGATCTAACCTACCTGCAGAATATCTACTTTAGAAACTTGTACGCTTTAAAACTGGTATTTCAAAATGCAACTGCAATTAATAGGAACCACATCATCTTAAAATGAATCATCATGTTTCCAAGCAATGCTTGGTTTCATGGATGCTCAGTTATCGCTATGAAAAGAACTTGAACATCTGTATCTGAAAGACCTTCTTGTTTTAGCATTTTATTGAAATACAGTATGCATACCAATAAATGAACTTAAGTGTACAGATAGATGAGTTTTCTGTCCTCTGGTCACACTCATAACCAACACCCAAATTAAGAACGAAACACTACCAGCATTCCAGGAGTCCTCACTCGCTCGTGGGAAAGAAGGGTTTACTGACATTTATTTACATGGTTTGATTCAGGGAAGCGATATTTATAACTGTATACCAACTGACATGACAGCCACATAATTTTTATATTCTATATATTAACTCACAAATAAGAAACACAGGTGATCAAATAAAATACAGAACACTTCACAAATTTGCACATTAACCATGTTGAAGGGGCCATAGTAATTTTCTCTGTATTGTTCCAATTTTAGTGCATATTCTGCCAAGGAGAGCGCGGGGCTTGGGTTTAGATTTGGGGACTTTGCCACTTAACTAGCTATACATGTCACTAGCTTGCTACTAACTTGCTACTTAAATTTTCTATGTCTTTCCCAACTGTTAACCTGGTTGTAACAGCTACCTCATAGTTGAAGGCTAAAGAAATAACATGTGAGAGATACTAGCCCCGTGATCATTGTGTTTCCTTTCTTATCTCCCTCATCCTCTCCCTTCCTTCCACCAACAGCAACCTTCAGGGGTAAACACAGGCACGAGGGTCCTCCCAAAAAGAACTTGTACCCTTACCATTACTTTTACATTTTTGTTTACTACTCTTACATATAGAGCAAGTTAGAACCATGTCACATGAAGGAAATTTAGTGAATTCTAAATATCATGTTTCATGTGCAAGACATGGTGCACACCCCACATTCATATTCTGTCAGAGTGGAGCACTTGCTTATACTCCCTCCAAGGAATTTAGCATTTTTTTGTTTTTGAAGATTTATTTATTTGAAAGGCAGAGTAACAGGAGAGAGAGAGAGAGAGAGAGAGAGAGAGAGAGAATTTCTTTCATCCACTGGTTCACTCCTCAAATGGCCACAGAGGCCAAGCATGGACCAAGCAGAAGCCAGGAGCCTGGAACCCCATCCGGGTCTCCCATGGAAGTGACAGAGGCCCAGGTACTTTGGCCATCTTCTGCTGTTTTCCGAGGAAATTCAGCATTCTTGATTAGAAGATTGTATAGCACTCCCAAGAGATGGCTGTGTGAGCAAATGCTTGAGGAGTGACACAGCTGATTGCTTGTATCCACTGCCACTGTTTACCACAAGCTGTCACTGCCCACACTTTGGACCTCTCCCTTTCTCCCCTCCAGGGACTGTGACCTCTTGCTCTGCCTTTTGGGCAAACTTTCACCTTTTCCTAGGTGCACTGCAGCAGACAGAGCTTTGCCCCATTTCAGATGTCTGGAAGCTGGACACTTGGCATGATGGAGTTTGATGGTAGGGGTGGAGACAGAGGGCAAGGGGGGCGATCAGATTGAGGGAAGCAGGTTCAATGTCCCCCATCAAAGTGCTCACCTGTTTCCCTGACAAAGAATTTGATTCCTGTTCTTGCTGTAGGTTCCTCCTTTCCACGTTGCCTTGTCACGTTGTAGAACAGTGTCTCAGAGTGGGGCATCATCTTCATTTCCACCTGAGCGCTTCAAGGGCCCATCATTCTGCTTGAATTCACTTCTGGTGACAACTCCTCCCTCCAAGCTTTTCCCACTATCCTTGGGAAAGGACTGGCTCAAGACCCACGTTGAACTTTGGATATTAGAAATATAAAAACTTCTGATTTTAAGTGTGCATTTGATCCTCCTTAAAACATAACTTCAACTTGTTACAATTACTATGTAAGGCTTCCTTTATATTGCTTTGATTTTTTTTCACACGGAAAAATAATGCATAAAATATGTAGCAAAACAGAATGTCTACATACGAGGGGACTTCCAAGAGTTCATGGAAAACTGAAATTAAAAGGTATGTTTATGTCATTGCAAAAAAAAATTTTTAGAAATCCAGGACAAGTATTTGGCTTAGCAGTTAAGACACCTGCATCCATATTAGAGTGCCTACGTTCAGTATTCCGGATTCTAGCTTCCTGCTCATGCAGACCCAGACTGTGATGGCTCAAGTAACTAGGTCCTTGCCACTCATGTAGGGTACCTGGGTTGAGCTTCCAGTTCCAACCTTTGACACATTGGTCTGGCCTAACCCTGGATGTTGTAGGCATTTGAGGAGTAAATAAGCAGAAATGAGCACTGTCTCCTCTCTTGCTCTCGCTGCGTGTATGGGTGAGTGTGTGTGTATGTGTGAATGTGTGTGTGTACACGTGCATCCTTCTACCTCTCTGCCTCTCAAAAAAATTATGAACCATGCATAGTTTTTTCAGAATGTGCATTTTTCATTATGCATTTTTGAAGATCTCTCATCTGCATAAATTTCAAACATTTTCGCATCCAAATAAGTTTATGTTTTAAATCCATTTCCTGCAGATTTTTGAAGCCCCCTCATACACAGAGAGCACATGCTTCACCTTTGTCCCTTCCATGCCCACATAAAAATGAGTGTTTGTAATGCAAGGTAGCGCTGAATTTAAGGAGCATGAACAGACATGCACCTGATGCAGGCCATTTTCTTTGAATTGTCAATCATTTTTACCTTTATTTAGAAAGTTAGGTTAATGTTTACGATTAATGAGCACTTGAAGAGTTTCACTTAAAACCAATAGACATGGAAGTAGATGAATTAAATAATACTATGTAACCTATTCCAGTTCCTGAATGATTTATGACTGATATATAAATAGTGTCAGAACATTTTAGTTTAAATCTAAAAGTGTATCCCTATGATTAATGCATTGAAATAAGAAAAGTGTTTTGGTGAGCATAACCATGCCTCATTTTAATTTTAATATAATATGAACCAGAAGAAATTGTTTTAGCTATAATCAGAAAAAAAAACAAAAGATATGGCATGTGAAAATTTTTTTGAAGTTCCTTAGAGGTAATTGTTTATTATTATGTTGACATAATTATGAGCATTTCAATGATACTGTACCAAATCATGCCCTGACATGTATTTAAGGTAGCTATTCCTCGATGTATTAGTAAAAGGCTTCTGTGGCCTTGCATGTTAGGATACCAAATAAGAACTGTATCTAGCAGTTTATGTTAATACAAATTATTATAAAATTCTTATATTTTTTCATTTGTGGACTTTTAAAGCTGCATGTAATCATGTCAAAATATCAAGTGTATGGACCTGAGTTAATCTGCATGGTAGATCTAATTTATTTCTAAAATTTAATAGAAACTATTCTATACCAGATGTTATATGACATCTGCTTAAAAATACATTTTTCAGAAAAAGCGGGATTGATGCTTTGTAAGCCCTAAAATAAAAGTCGAATCCCTTAAATGTTGAATTTGAATGGATTCAGAGGCTGGACACAATTACTGAGAATTCATTTCCTGGGTCACAGCCCCATCTCCATCCCCAACCTCCTTTGCAATATAGTTAGAATTTAGCCCTCTAGGTGCGTGTGAGAATTACCCAGATAGCCCCGTGGAAGCACACCTGGTTACCACGGCTGAAGGACAGCAGCCAGCTGGCTGGCCGTGCCTGCCTTACCCAACTGAGAGCCGCCTCCTTCCCACTCCACAAACAGAATCGCCTTTGATCCTCGCAACAACCTCACCGACGCCGGCGGCAGCAGGGGTTACCCATCTCCACGTGTAACAGTGAATGGACGCATGGTCAATTTACAGTTTATCTAACTGCACGGGGCGTTAAATCATGAACAAAGGAGCCGCGCGTGATGACAAGTTTTTATCTATTTCAGATCGTCATTTAAGGTATTAATGAAGAGACTCTAAATTATCCCGCTCTCGCTCTCAGGCGTGGTGCTTAGTTGGGCTTCTTAAGACTGTGGAGATGGAGATTTAATCAAAAGACCTTAAGATGAATGCCTTGTCAGAGCACAAACATTTTGAAATCCCAACGAAAATGCAGTTTAATGCATCCAGCTAAATTGCCTGAGAGGAAATCGTGAATACAGCTTTCTTAAAGCCTTTCCCTCAGGCCATTAACTAAGAAACTGGTCACTAACTGCTGGCAACAACCCATTTTGGAGGGATTTTTGCTATTATTGGCATTCAGCAGTTTATGGCAACATTGTGTTAAAGACGTTAGCAACGACAGTGCGGTCCGACTTGGTATTTCAGAGAAATCAGTCCTTCCTTCCCTTGTGGTTAATGGCCATTTTTTTCCTCCCAATCTAAATGTACTGAAGCTGCGCTGCTGAGTTTATTATCTGCTACATTTCGTGTTGCTCTAAGAAATATGCTTTACACCAGAGTCAGCATTCAAATCAATGGAGCAAAAATATAACATTTATTGTTGAGAAAATTGAATCATGCTGAAAAGGCTGAAGGAATGCTTGACTTAAACTGGATGCTAGAAATCATTGCACTTGCCACGAGCGCTTTCTGGCTGACACGCAGCCGCTTGCCATTCCCTTCCAGTGATTAATTGGCAGCGGGAGCCTACGCATCTACATTGCCAAATGGAGACTAATAACCAAAGTTATGTTATTGATTTCCCATAACTCCACGGAACTTAGATATCTACAAAGGGCCCTGCTCCATGTGGCTGAGAGCTGCATGACGATGATTTTAACTTCTGATAAATTCCATTTACTGAAAAGGGAAGCAGAAGGAACATTGCCTTCCTGAAGGGTTGGAACACCTCACACAATGGAAGAAAAGTTCTAGAGAGTTTGAAAAAGATTTCTTTTGTTCACTTCAAATGGCAGAAATAAGTCAGAACCCTGACAGCTAAAAACCTGTAAGGTATAAAATTGAGATTGAACACAGATTACAACTATGCTATTTGCATGGGAGAACTGATTTTTTTTTTTTTTTTTTGCTTTTTGGGGTCCATTTTTTCCACATTTTAATTACAAAAAAAAAAAAAAGATCAGAACATATCATTAGCTCTGCTTCTTAGTGAACCTGACTTTTCTCAAGAAATTTACATCTTTCTCTCATTTTCTGTTAAGGTTTCTTACCCTGTTTTCTCACCTAAAGAATGATAATGAGGTAGAGTGAATGAGATCTATGGGGAGAGCAGTGGACCCAGAGACTAAAGGTAAAAGGATGATTGATGGTATGAAATTACCATAAAAGTACAATCAGGATCAGATTTTAAAATGAATTTTTAAGCAGCCTAAGAGATACTCTTTGATTTGCAGTCTGGTGGAATGGATAATGTCTCATTCAGTGGATAAAGTTTCTCACTGTGTGACTTGAGCTTTTTCTGATCTTTCTGACTGGGAGTAAAATGGAACCAAAGCCTAAAGTGGTTTTTAATGCAGAAAATATCAAACACAATATTCTTAATGTCAAAACCTGGGCATAGCAGGTGAGGAAAGAAAAATAAATACTGGAATATTCCTGTTAGTATTAT